GAGTGAGTGAGTGAGTGAGTGAGTGAGTGAGTGAGTGAGTGAGTGAGTGAGTGAGAGAGAGAGAGAGAGTGAAAGAGAGTCAGGCAGACAGTTAGTCAGTGAGTTCGTCAGCGCTCAGTCAATGCATGTGTGACGGAGCGTTTGAGTGGAAGAAAGAGTGAGTGCTTTAGAGCGAGTGAGGGAGAGTTTTAATGAGTAAACTTCATGGGTTTGTGAAGTCAACTGAATTGAAAGTAAGTCCGTTAGTGAGCCAATGCATGAAAAACTGACAGAGTCATTGGCTATAGACACAAAGCCCAGTTAATTAATAACATTATATGACTGTTCAAATGATCTGAGTAGCTGAGAAAATGATGATGCTATGATCAGGTCTGACAGGGTTTAATGTGTTAGGACGAGTAAAAAATTGAAAACAAATAAAAAGTAAGGGAACAATAAGTAAAAATGATAGTGTCCCTACATGGGTTCCTTCAACATCTAATAAACTGGGAGTTTTTTATAATATAAAAAATAAAAATATAGAACTTTGTCTGAAGCAACTGAACTCTGGATGACGTTTTAATGAATCACACAAAAATTTTAGGGGAAAAGTAACATCAAGTTGGTTGAAGAACAGCCACAGAGTATGCAAAAAAAGAGGACACCTATTATTATCAACTTAATAAATACTTTGCAGCCATTTGTTTTGACCACTTGGTCAACAGAAAACATATTTAGTGAAACATCGCAAGCATTGATCAAACTTGTACTTTTCTTTTTCTGTGGCTTCCTATAAGATCAAATTATTGACCATATAATAGAAGAGAAGAATTAATTATTGAGTTGAAAGAGAACATTTTCAGTATATAGATATATGTCACTGAACACCTATCTGGAGAGGACATGGCAACCAAAGATGAATCATTAGTTCCAAGCACATGCAAAAATGTAGCATCCATATATCAAAAAAGGTATGAAGGTCTCTGCTATTGTTAGTCAAAGAAACAAAACTTACATTCTTTTTTCCAATGGCACACGGCAGCAAACAAATGAAAAAGATTTGAACAGAGTTGGAAAAGCAAGGGTTTTTGTGCACATTATTTTCACACCAAAACAAACTGAAATTTTTACATTTGTGTCTGATAAGCAAATAATATAATAACACTTAGGCGAGATCTTGACAGAGCCCTTTTATTCAAGACCCAGAAACTAAATAAACATATTTTATGGAAAAAATAAAATATCAGTGCATTGACTAAAGAAAAGAAAACCATAGACACAAGTGCATTATGCATGCAAGAAAAGAAAGTAAAACTTTCAGCACACTTCACATCTGCTAAAAAATACTACTTTTCAGCTCTCCAACAAGATCATATATTTTGTATTCAGTCAATACAGCTCTTTCCAATGCGCAAATAAATATCTACGAAGCAAATATATATAGACTACAATAATCAGGTAGATTTACAAAATATACCCCGCCGCCCCCAAAAAAAAAGAAAAAAAAGAAATCCAACAATATTAAAGGCCAGGAGAGTTTTAAAAAATTTTATTAATAGCTCCTGAAAAAGAGACCTCAAAGTACCCACTTAAATATCTCAATATAACATGATTTAAAGATTTTTTTTTAAATAGATATCTTGAACGAAGACCAAAGATTCTGTCAGAAAACCAGCTTCCTAAAGTTTTCCCTTGCTCCCCATTCAATACTAAATCACATGCTGATATCTATCTAACTTGCAACCACTTTTTCATCCTTCCACAACACAAAAACTACTCTAAAGTTTCTTGATATCTCCCTCAAAACTACCAATAATAGAAACAGATAACCTCTTGACTCTCAACCCAGTGTGTATGGATGCATCGCATGCAGGACAAGTGATAGTATATTTCAATGAGACCTTCAAAGATTTTTTCTCTCTCTCCTTCTTCAAACTCTACCTCTTGGCAAACTGGAAGTTTGTGTACTGTCGCAATGAAATCAGGAGCTCGTCAAAATAGTTAAAATTACAGACCTGACATATTTCCACCCTTTGGGCAATATTCATCAATTTTTTAATTTTTTTTTTTGGGGGGGAGGGGGTGGGTGGGTTCAACACTATTTAAGTCCATTAAAAACACCTTTCTACTGAAAAAAAGTTGACGACTCAAAGTTTGGAAGTCATCAAACTTTGGTAGCCATTTTTCGCTAATTTTACCTCTGACACCCACCTCCTTCACTCAAAAAATACCTCGAGTTCTATTCAAGATAGATAGATATTTTTCCTCACCAAAAGCAAGACACATAAACAAGCTTTAAGATTATACCAATAACTCCACATGTCCAAAACTCAATGAGCACCTGATTCCACCATGTCGTGACACATTTGATCTTTTTCCTCCACACTGAACTACAATGAGCAGTTTTAGGTATTTCTTTATCTTCACAGCACTGAGATATCTCTTGACATGTTTATAAAGTTACTCACACACTGGTTCTGGATTGTGCTCTCATAGTACTCTGCACCCTCGCCCAGACGCAGGTATCGGACGTCCTCAAAAGACAAGCGGTGGTTGTAGCGGATAAAGTCCTTTCCGTTCACAATGATGAAGTAAAAGTCTGGGCCCACCCAAATCCTGGAAATAAAAATATATTAATCATCATGTCTGTTTTATGAAAGGAGATTTATTAGTATGAAGTCAAGGCCGTGGTCAAATACTTTCATTGGGGCCTATTTTTAAAAATACTTTTTGGGAAATCTGAGGAACAACCAGGTCAACACCAGCATTTCCCTACCACAATATAAAACACAGTTGTATAGAGCTCATTCAAGCTGCCTCTCAGCTGTCAGTGTGCCTTATGGTCATGGGTAATAGTAATTACTTCAGTGTGGGAAATTCAGGTTTGTGTCTTCACAGGGAGTACATATAATAATTGCCAGAGGTGGGAAAAATATCAAGCCAAAAGCTGATGTACAGATGCAACACACATAAGAAGGTTATTAATAACGAATCCAAAAGTACAGCCCTCACCTGATTGTGAACTTGGAGCCACTGCTGAATGGAAAGAATGGAATGTCCAGCTCCTCATCACCCCAGTCTCCCTGGTACGAGTTTCTGACAACTGTCCCGCTGTCAACACGAGGGTTGAAGTGCAAGGGCACGTCACAGCCGTCCTCTTGGTCATTTTGAAGGTTGATGGAAAACCTAGAACAACAGGAAAGAATGATGATAGAAAGGAGTTCACTGATGCCATAATAACATAATAATAAATAGCATTTGTAGAGCGCATATCCCTGTTCAATAGCAAGCTCAAAGCACTTTACAATCTGTATGATTACTCCAAGAGACCAAAGAACACTCAGAATCATTCTCAGAATCATTCTCCGCTTCAGGGGAACACATCCTTCAGCACTGCAAGATGCACAGTGCCCTGACTTGGGCAACATGGCCAACCCCATTGACACTACAAGAGAATCTGTACGAGCCAACAGATGACCTCAGCAGAACGGCCCAGTATAGGATAGATATCAGGCTTCAAGTGTGATGTAATCGAGAAGAAAATAATTCCCCGCTTCCCAAGAAGCACACAGTGCAAGCAGCCGATTACAGGCTCAAACACAAACACACTGTCAAGATCTTTCACAGTACACGAAAGTGGATACTGATGAGTCAGACAAAAGAAAAATACATTAACATAAGAACAGTCGTTTTGTGCAAAGAAAGTTAGTTTTAGTTTTAGTAAGTGTTTTACGGCACTTGCAACACAATAAGGTCATATAAGTGCCGAAGATTAGAGGTGTTACAAGAGAGTAACAAACACAAAAAAGAAAGACGGGATATAAAGACAAAAGACGTTTGATAGAAAGAAGAAGCAACCACACCAGAGTACCTGCCAACCACCCACGTGCAAGGGAAGAGTGACATAGACAGACAGAAACAACAGAGATGAAAAAAAAGAAGTAAGACCTACCAGTGGCACCCTCTAACCACCCACAGATGAATATTATGAATTGTAAAAAAAAAAAATGAGGTAAAAAATAATGACGCAATGATAGTCATACTAACGAACTATAACAGTTACAATGAAACCCGCAATGGAACATTGATAAGGTAAGTAACACAGGGTGATACAATGATAAGTATGCTGATACATTAAGAGCTGCAAGGACACCATCACAGAATTATTGATCAGTGTTACTTTGTTGACACACAACAATGTTCAGGCTTTCAAAATGACTCACACAGAAACAATCATGCACTGACAAATGCAGTATGTTGTCTAGTTTAGTTCATAGCTTTATTAATGGTCACATTTCTCCACAAACAGACAAAATTTAGCAAAGCACTCACAACCCATTGACACAAAGATGACGTTTGCCCTAAAATCATTGTATCTAAATGGACCCAGTTTTCTCCAGCCAACATAAGCAATATATATATAGCCAAGATAATAATACAGTCAAATTGTCCAAAACAGCCACCCACTGTTGAGCAGAAAAGTGATCATCTTAGACGGGTGGATGTCTTGGACAGTGTCATTATACATTGTACTAAAGAAAAAAAGAAAGGGGAGATGGGGGGAAGTGGTCGTTCTGTACAGTTGAATGTCTTGGAAAGGTGGCTGTTAGACCAGGTTCCACTGTAATATTATGATCTTGGTTGATACTTTGGAAGCATCAAGATAATATTAACCAAAATCTGATCTACAAACTTGACACATACAGGTGAGGCCAGTGAATGTGAAGCAGTGCTGTGACAGTTGCATGCAGATGATGTGAGTTTGATTCATGTGCGGGGAAGTGTTAATGATCAAATATCTCCTTCTGGAATATCATATCCGTCTTGCAGCCTGAGGTCACACAGACAGGCCGAGTGAACCACTTGAGTGAATATTTTGTTTTATTAATAAGAGTTTTACAGTGCTTGCAACACAAATAGATTGTATAAGTGCTGAAGATTATAGATGTTACTAGAGAGTAACATGCAAAGAAAAGATAAGAGGAACAATAGATGTTTGAATAATAGGACAAAAGTCCAGGAGCAAATCACATCAGGGCACCCGCCAACCAACCACACTGTGTTGATATGGGAATAAACAACATTTGCAATCAATCAAAAGGGAAAAATGTTTACAGAACCTTGCCAGAGAGTAATAAAATATAAAAGGCTTACTTTGTTGTTTTAGTAAGTTTATGGCACTAGCAACACAATAACGTCATATAAAGCTGAAGATTCGAGGTGTTAAAGAGAGTAAAAAACAGAAAAAACAAGGAGGGGAGAGAGGGATGATAGACGTTATAAAAGGCTTACCTTTCCTCTCCGTAAGGCACCCGGCCTCTGATGATGATCTGGCAACCCACATTGAGTCCACCAGGGATGTAAGTGTAGTCAGGAGGGTTCTACTCGCACATCAGGCAGTGATATGAGGAGATAGAAATAATTTGTTTTAGTGACTCTTTGGTACAATAACTGATTTACAGGTACAAAAGTTACAGGAATGCTACTGATATTCTTGCCTCGTTTGTCTGTTTTGTTTAAATAAATAGAAAAATATTGACACAATAGCGGTTATTTAGTGCCAGGAAAAAGCAAGACCCATTGATGGAAACAAAAAAAAGGAAAGTAAAGATGTAGGAACTGACAACCCTCTAACCATCCACTTTATTGCTTCAGTGGTGATTACTGCTAGAAAAAAAAGAAATCTGTTAGGTTATTGGGTAATATAATATATTCTCTCATTGTCATGCTCACACTGCCTGCCTGTTCATGTGTACATGTTTGCGTCTGCACATGGGTGACATTTGCATAATCTCTTCCTCTCTGTCTGCTTTGCCCCTCCCCTCTCTGTCTCTCTGTCTGTCTCTCTGTCTCTATATATCTCTCTCTTTATCTCTATCTCTTTATCTCTCTCTCTCTCTCTTTCTCTGTCACACACTCTCTCTCTCTCTTTCTTTTTCTCTCTCTTTCTCTCTCTCTCCCCT